GTGCGAGAGGCATCCCGAAATGAGAGGCGGGAGATCATGCGAACCTTGGCATTCGATCCTTCGGAGCTTCTCGTGGGGCCACGAGGCGTGGGAGGGGCGTGCCGACATGAGAGGTGGGAGCTCATGCGAAACCTTGTATTTGGGCATTAACTGAGACTTCATACGGGGCCACATAACGTGTGAGAGGCGTGCCGGAGTACGTGGCGGGAGTTCATGCGAACCCTTGCAAGTGGGTGCCAGTTGAGACTCCTCATGGGGCCACGATGTGTGCGAGGGTTGTGCCGACATGAAAGGCATGACAGGCGGGAGATCATGCGAACCCAGACATCTGCGCTTTAGTTGGGGCTCCCGATGGTGCCACGAAACGTGCGGGGGGCGTGTAAGGATGAGAGGCGGAAGCTCATGGGAACCATACTATTGGGGCCTTCGGTGGAGCTCTCGATGACGGCACGAAACGTGTGAAGGGCACGCTGGCATGAGAAGCGGGAATTCGCACGAACTTTTGCGTGTGGGCTCGAGGTGGAGCTCCTTGTGGGGCCACGAGGCGTGTGTGGAGTGTGCCGACATGACGGGCGGGAACTCATGTCAACCTTAGCATTTGGGCCTATGTTGTGGCTCCCTCTGGGCCCCCAGGGCGTGTCACGTGTGTCCCGGAATGAGAGGCGGGAGCTCATGCGAACCTTGACATCTTGGCTTTCGGTGAAGCTTCCTATGGCGCCACGAAACATGTGACGGGTGTGCCGGGATTTGAACGGTGATAGTGGTAGTGTTGATGATGGTGCCAAGGAGGTTGTTGATGATGGTGATGGCAAGGATGATGGCGATGGTGGTGATGATGACAATGCTGGTGGTGATGATGGTGTCAGTAATGATGGTGATGATTATGAGTATGATGGTGATACTGCTGGTGATGATGATGTTGGTCATGATGATAATACGGCTGGCGATGACGGCGAGGAGGGAGGATGGTGAAGTGGAGAGACGGAGGTGAGAAAAAGGCAGGGCGTTGTTGAGCCAAAACGATGGCCCAACACCACAGGATGATTGGGGACGAAGACAAACGATGTTTCACAATCGTTAAGTTCAAATCGTTTCGAGGTAAATCCTCCAGTGGTGGGCAGCGCATCTTGGGCGACGGCTGCCCTGGAGGCGTCGGAAGCCAGGTGGTGGAATGGACCTTGGGGAGGAGTAGGAGGAGGAGGAGGAAGAGGAGGAGTAGAAGGAGGAGGAGGAGGACAAGTGCTTAACCCCAAGACGCACCAATGATGTTGCATTAAGCTATCCCTCCAAATTCCCTCTTCGCAGGCCCCTACAAGCCATTGCTTTCGCTGCGGGAGCTGCACCATTAGAAGACAACCATCTGAGAACCCTCAATCGTGCCAAAATGCTGTTTCGGGGATTTCAGCACCGCGAGTCAATGTAAGTGTTGCGCCCCGGCAGTCGTCAATCGCGTCTCACCACCAGTTTGGGGATTTCAATATTGTAGTGGCCTCCGGCCAGTGCCGCCGATCCAGGGCGCTCCTGATGCTATTGTTGTTGAAATGGACGATGACGACGACAACGGACGACCAACGGTCGACGGGCGGGATAATTACGACGACGACCGACGAAGGAGTTAATGACGACGAACCGACGACGCCGACGACGCCGACGACGACGACGACGACGACGACGACGACGACTGACGGCGAACGGCTGCCGACGGCCGACGACCGACGACTGGTGACGGCGACGGATGGAAGGTTCTTCGTTCATCGCTTTCGCTTTCGAGCAATACCAAGTCAGGCCGTGCACTTCTGGCCTGGCAGCACGCGAGTGAGCGCCTCTTGGGGCCTCTTGGCTCTTGGGGCTTCTTGGGGGCCTTTGGGGTTTCTTTTGGGCCTCTCGGGGTCCTCTTGGGGGCCTCTTGGGGACCTCTTGGGGGCCTCTGGGGGCCCCTTGGGGGGGCCTCGGGGGTATCTTTGGGGCTCTTGGGGTCATCTTGGGGTGGGGGACTGGAAGGGTCCGTTCGGATTCACCCTCTTGAGGCCATCTTGGGGGCCTCTCGGGGTCATCTTGGGGGGCCTCCAGGGCTGTATTGGGGCCCTCTTGGACCGTCTTGGCTCCTCTTGGGGGCCTCTGGGGCTGTCTTGGGGCGATCTTGGGGGCCTCTTGGACCGTCTTCGGCGCTTCTAAAACGGAAAAGGCGATCATGTCAAAATGCTTCAAAACCTATCAGCGATTTTATCATTGTACCTTCTTGGGGCCCTCTTGGGGGTCCTCTTGGGATCTCCTTGAGGCGTCTTGGAGGCCTCTTGGGCCGTTTTCAGGCCATCTTGGGCGTCCAGGAGCGCTCTTAAGCCATTTCGGGCGCCTCCTGGACCGTCTTAGTGGCCTCCTGGGCTCCTTTTAGCTGTCTTGGGGCGGTTTGGGATTCCCGGGGGGGGGGGAGGGGGGAAGAAGAAGAAGAAGAATGCGTGGACCCGATGAACGCCCCCCTTCCCCCCCCCTACCCCGGCAGAGCCACCCCGGCCTCCCCCCAGCAGAGCTGAAGCTCAGGTTGGAGCTTTCTTAAACTCACACGCCAGATCGGCGGAAATTAACTTCTTGGGAACGCTCAAGACGAATGTGCGTGGCGCTGATGCGAGAGCCACATATTAGAAACGAACCGCCCTCCAGCCTCGAAACTGTTGCACACTTTTGCGACGAATGGACGAATGCGAGCGGCGCTGAAACGAGAGCCACATGTTGAAAACGAGTTGGCTTTCATCCTTGGATCTGGTACAGGCTTTGAGATGCATATGCGCGGCGGCGAGATTTGAGAATTACTTGTCCTCCATCCTTGGAGTTGTTGCAAACGTGTAATGTGTTTTTTGTCGTGGCGCTGCCGCCCTCCATCCGTGAAAGCTCTGCACACTTCCAGCTTCAGGATCGCAAGTGGTGAGGAAGTCCCCGGCGAGACGCCCGGCCCGCCCTACCGACACGTCCGAGGGTGCGACAGGGGGAGTTAATTACAAGGAAAAGGGATGGATTATGAGGGGGAGGAGGAGCAGCTGGAGGAGGAGGACGGGGGAGTTGGGAGGGGGAGGGGGAGAGGAAGGGCGAGAGGGAGAGGGCAGACTGGGTTTTCCGAGGAGGAGGAGGAGGTTGGGGAAGAGGGAGGAGGAGGAGGAGCAGGAGAAGGAGGAGGAGGAGGAGGAGAATGATGAGGAGGAGGAGGAGGAGGAAGAGGAGGAGGAGAGAGAGAGAGAGAGAAAGAGGCTTAGGAGGAGCAGGGGGCAGAGGATGGGAAGGGGGTGGGGGATGATGAGGAGGAGGGGTGGGGGGAGGAGGAGGAGGAGGAGGAGGAGGAGGAGGAGGAGGAGGAGGAGGAGGAGGAGGAGGAGGAGGAGGAGGACGGGGACGCCGAGGAGGAGGGTGCCGCACGCCCGCGCTGAGGATAATCGACATTCTCACCTCCTACGATAATTCGAAGAAGCTGGAGCAGATGCTCAAGGCTTCCCGGGGGGGGGGTCGCCGCGCGCACCGCGGGAGGCCCGCCCTCTGTTCGGGCGCGGGAGGGCCCTCGAGGAGGGAACACGCCGGAGCCATACGATGTCGGAGTTCCACGCGGACCTCCGCCTCCTCTTCGTCCTCCTCCTCCATCACCCCTCCTCCTCCTCCTCCTTCCCCTCCTCCTCCTCTCCCTCCTCCTCCTCCTCCTCCCCCTCCTCCCCCTCCCCCTCCCTCCTCCTCCCCCTCCTCCCCCTCCTCCTCCTCCTCCTCCTCCCCCTCCTCCTCCTCCTCCTCCTCCTCCTCCTCCTCCTCCTCCGCCTTGTATCGGCGAGGGACGCCCCTGGCGGCGCCTCCAGCCTCGCACCTGGCGCGCTGCGCTCGCCGCCGATCCGAGAGATCCGCGCGGATCTCCGAAAGCTTGTGTGTATGACGTTGCTGCTCCCTTACAGGGCCAGCGAGCGTGGCTGTAGGGGGGTGGAGGGGTGGGGGGGAGGGGACCAGCGGGGGTTAGGGGGGGAGGGCGAGCTGCCTGGAACTCTGTAGGTTTGTTTGCGGGGGCAGGAGGTGCGGAGGGGTGGGGGGGGGCGGTGATGCGGCATCACCAGCTCTTGGTCACAGAGGGCGCGCGCAATGAAAGAACGACCCTTGCGCGGCGGCTGTTGACAGCCTGACCGGCGAGCAGCGATACGCCTTGTCCAAGGGGACTTGAACACCATTTTGAGCGTCAAGCTGGCTCACCCGATCGCGCAGGGCTCATGGCTGCACACTGGTCGAGCCCTCACTGAAGGACTGTATTCTTACCACTCCTCCTCGTCAACCCTCCTCTTCATCCTCCTCTACCCCCGAAAGGGTTTCTTGCAACGAGTGCCCAGGCATATCTCACATGATGAGGTTCGCCGTCATTCTGCGCAAAGCTCGGGTTGTGCAGGCTCCGCGGCTTGGATTTTGACAGTTAGCTCAATGCGAAACGAGGGACGATTGTGCGGACATTTGCACACAAGGGCGCGCTTTACGCGCCCTTTGAATCCACGTGGTGCGCCGCGTCGCTGGCAAGCCGTCGTGTGCAAGGCCCCTTTCATTCTTCGTTGCTCAGCAGGCTGTCTGGTTTCCCTTTGTATGGTGGCCAATCCAACGTACCATCTGTGCGTGCATGTGCGCATAGACATGTGACTCCATATGCATTGCATTGTCTGCTGCTCTCGTAGATACGTGAGATTACGCAGTATGCCCAACGACGTGTGCGCACATGATCGTCATTATATGTTACGTGTATGTGCAAGCTTGAACATGTACATGGACTTGTGCAGCTCTTTCAGTGCTACATATTTCATGTGGGCCAGTCCGAAAGGAAACATACGCAGGCGCGTTGTCGCTGGTACGTCGTCGTCATGTTGTTCCATCTTGTCCCACGCACCGAGCTCAGACATTTGGCAGGCTTTTCATTCGTCAGGCCTGCGCGGGTTGCTGCTACTTGCCCCCACCCGCATCTGCACGGCCCCAGTGGTTTCGCAAGTTGTCGTCTGCCGAGCCGTTCTGGCTCAGTTGGAAGCCCGCTGCCCTCACGTTCGCTGCCCCGTGGCCAGTCTTCCGATGCAGGCGCCCTCCCCACGACCCCGCTTGGGTCGTGGTCTGGTCTCGTTCACCTCCTCTCGAGGGAAACGCGATGACCATGGCCTAGTCGTCGCGTGATCCTGTCGGCGCTGGCCTTGGTCACGTTCCACGCTGGCCGTCGCCGATTCGCAAGGATGATCCACGAATCGACGGTGACCAAGATGAGCGGTGCCCAAGATCAGCACCGACGTTTCCGCATTCTACCTTGGTCGTGGCCCTCGCGCTCTTCCCCTCCATCCTCGGAGGAAGGACTCTCCCTTCCCCCCGTTTCCCCTTCCTCAGACTTCCCACGGCTCGAGGACGGCGCGCGGGAGATCTGTCGTGATGTTCGACCTCCGGGTGCCGCCGGGGCCCAGGGGCCATCAAACAACGACCAAGAGGTACCCAGTTTGCCACGGGGAGCGGGTCGAGTTGCCTGGGGGGGCGCCTGGTGAAAAAAGCCACGGCGTCGGAGATATTGGCCCACTCCGCCCTCCACTCACCGTTGTCCCTCCTCTCCTCCATGCTCCTGTCATTGAGGAGGAGGTGGAGGAGGAGGAGAAGAAGAACCAGGGATGTATCAACGATGCCCCCAGTAACAATGCATGCTGCCGTCCAAAGTCCCCTCCTGGCAATTCCCTCCCTACACGTGTTTCTTTTCCTCGCAGGTAGTGCCCCATATTGTTTCAGTGAGAGACGAGCGTACCATGGGCCTGACACTCCTGCGAGAACTTCGTTTTGGAAAGGGTCCCGCCTCCATCCATGCAGCTAACACGTCAAGATATTGTGTCGTGTCATAAAGTGCATATAGGTGTCAAGCGCGAGCTCAATGTCCGAAGGCTTTGATGACATCTTTTGCGAGAGCCGCATTTTGACTAAGAACTGTTGTCTGCCCCACACCCTTCCTCGAATCAGGATAGAGCAGCGGCAGCATTCTGGAAAGTTGGCAAACTTCGAGGACGAGTGTGTGCGGCGATAATGCGAGAGACCTGCTTCCCAAAACGTACGAGGCGCGGAGACGAGAACCACAGCTTGAAAACCACCTCCGTGCAGCAGTCGCAGACTCTTAAAACCAATTCCCGCGGCGCTGACGCGAGAGCAACATTTTCAAAAGCATCCGCCCTCCATCCGTGTGGATGTTGGACATTGTTAGGACGATCGTCTGAAGCGCTTTGGCGACAGCCACGCTGCGACAACGATCCGTCCTCCGTCCGTACAACTGCTAGAGACTTCTAGCTTCAGGATTTCGATGGAGTCTTGGTCGAAACGCCCTGCCGCCCTGGAACTTCCCCACGATGAAGAGGGATGGGGGAGGAGGAGGAGGAGGAGGAGAAGGAGGAGGAGGAGGAGGAGGAGGAGGAGGAGGAGGAGGACCAGAGGCACTCTGGGGGAAAGCGACATCTCGAGCGAAGAGCGCTTTCCCCCCCCCCCTCCAGGGTCCCTCGCGAGAGAGGAAGGGAGCTTCCCCCTCTGGGAGGATAGGGGCTGCGACATGGAGGAGGGAACAGAAGGAGGAGTAGGAAGAGTCTTGATGCTTCCTGCCGCCCCTGGGCCTTCCCAGGGGCCCGTCGTCGCGGTCCCGGCTCGACGCCGCTCGACACCTCCGCCGGGAGGGTGGACGTCCGGGGAAGGATCGATGGGGACCCGAGCGGGAAGGGGGGGCGGGAGGAGGGGCCCGAACGGGGAGGACCAGACAGGGGTCAGGGCGAGAAGAAGTCAGTTCCAGGGCGTTGCGGAACGCTCTCAGAGCGTTCGGGAACGCTCGGAGAAGACCGCGGCGCCCGCTGCATCCTCCAAAGCCCCCGGATTACGGAGACTCTCGATTCACCCTCACCCATTTTTATCATCGTCTTGGCCTCGTCTGAGGGGATGGGCGGGAAAAATTGGGTGCTTAGGTTGTTGCGCGCAGCCGAGTCTGACCCTGCCGCCTGGGAACGAGTCTTTTATATTTTTCGTCCAAAATCCGCCTGTAGGGGACACGCCCGACTTGAGGCAAGAGAGCTCGTGAAGAGGATGGGCCGGCTGTTAGGCGGGGACGGCGTGGGGACGGCTGAGCTCAAGAGGTAGCCGGCGGACCCACGCAGAGGCTGCGTCCACACGCAGACGACAAGGGAACAAGAGGACGGCCGCGGAGGAGGAGGAGGAGGAGGAGGAGGAATTATCGCATATTACATGTACAATGCTCGCCGCCATGAGTATCATATGCCTCTCGATTGTTCTGCACGATCAGCTCGTGCTCAGTTCCTGCAGCAGGCCGAGATTGGTGGTAACTGATGACCTATGGACCGAGCTATGTGCGAGGAGGAGGAGGAGAAGGAAAGCGGGGTGGGGCTTCAGGCGTCGGGGCTCCTCGCCACGAGGAGTGCGCGGGCGACAGCGGGCACCCGTGGCCGGCGTGCCGGAAGACGCGTGCGTTCAGTCCATATTTCTGGCCGGGACCGTCTTGGTTTAAAACATCGGGTTAATGTTCTAAGGACATTGTTTTTGTTCTTAGAACATTTTGGGGTTCTAAGAACATGTCGTGGTAGGACTATAGGAATGCCGGGACGGTCGGTCCCTGCTCAGGTCCAGGTTGGCGGAGGGGGCGGCAGCGCCGTAACCATTGAAGAGGCAAGCAAACTTAGCTGGCGAAGGACCCAACCATATGCAGTTGTGAATACCGTCGTTGTGAGTATCGCATTCGGTGGTACTCTGTATGGGCCAAGAAACGCTGTCCAGGGTGGGGGAGACGCATGCGAACTGTGCCACTGGGGCTTCGAAACGCTGTCCTGGGTGGGGGAGACGCATGCGGCCCCCCCCACTGGAGCCTTTGGTGGAGCTCCCTATGGGGCCACGAAGCGTTGTCCTGGGCGTGGGGGACGCATGCGGCCCCCCCCACCGGGGCCTTCGGTGGAGCTCCCGATGGGGCCACGAAACGCTGTCCTGGGCGTGGGGGACGCATGTGGCCCCCCCCATCGGGGCCTTCGTGGAGCTCCCTATGGGGCGACGAAACGCTGTCCTGGGCGTGGGGACGCATGTGGCCCCCCCCACTGGGGCCTTCGGTGGAGCTCCCTATGGGGCCACGAAGCGCTGTCCTGGGCGTGGGGGACGCATGTGGCCCCCCCACACCACTGGGGCCTTCGGTGGAGCTCCCTGTGGGGCCACGAAACGCTGTCCTGGGCATGGGGGACGCATGTGGCCCCCCTCTGGGGCCTTCCGTGGAGCTCCTTATGGGGCTACGAAACGCTGTCCTGGGCGTGGGGAAAGCATGTGGCCCGTCCCCACTGGGGCCTTCGGTGGAGCTCCCCATGGGGCCACGAAACGAATCAGCCATGGCGATGCCGATGATGACGATGATGACGATGACGATGACGATGACGATGACGATGACGATGACGATGACGATGACGATGATGATGATGATGATGACGATGATGATGATGATGATGATGATGATGATGATGATGATGATGATGATGATGATGATGATGATGATGATGATGATGATGATGATGATGGGAGGAGGGGGTTAGCTGAGACATGCGGATTGCAAAGGCAAGGATGGGGGAGGAGGGAGGAGGAGGAGAGGAGGTGGGACGCGGGGCGCTGTCTCTTCAAAACGAGGACCCAACACCACAGGATGGTTGGGAAAAACAACAAAGCAAAGAGGCAAGACGTCATCCGCTGGGCGGCACGCAGCATGCCTTTGCCGAGCCAGCACCGCCGGCCGTCGTCCTCGAGGTGTCTGGCTTTCTGAAGGTGGCGGGGCCCTGCCAGATGCCAGGGCCTCCCTGCGCGCCTGCACCGGAGCGGCACACGTCCAGGGACCTGTGCCTTGCCAAAGTGCACCGCGACGGTCAAAGCGGGCGCCCGCTGGGGCCGACCTGAAGGCCCGAACACACACACACACACGAACACACACGAACACGAACACACACACACACACACGAACACACACACACACACACACGAACACACACACACACACACACTCACTCACACCCGCACGCACTTGTTTCGTCGCAGCCTGGCAGAGGCAGCCCGCACGCGCGTCCAGGCAACCCGGCGACGGTGTTGCTAAGTGTCCCGCGTGCAAGAGGAGGAGGGAAGACGAGAGACGGCCGAAGAGATAGGAGGAGGGAAAAGAGGGCGCACTCACGCTGCAACACACACACACACAAACACGTACACACAAGCACACACACACACGCTTATACACAGACGCACAGCTTGGAGCGCGCTCCGAACAGAATCACGAGACGGACCTGGTCGTTGCAACGACCCCCCCCAGGATGCAGAGGGAGACTGCCAGAACCTCGAAGTCGTAACCTCCTCCCTACTTCTTCTCCTCCCCCCTCTCTCCGCCCCCCCCTTTCGCCTTGCACAGCTGGCCCCAGCCGCAAGCTACGCCCTGCAGCCGCCAGCTGGCGGCGTTGGTTACCCGGCCGCCAGGTGGCCCTTCTCGTGATTTTCGTTGTTGTTTTCTTTACGCGAGGTGGATCGGGAGTATGGATGAGGGAGCCATGAGGGCGAGAGGAGATGGAGGCAGAGAAAGAGGATCTTACGTGTTGCAGGTGGTGAGGAAATGGTGCAATGAAGCTTGACTGGACACGCTCAATTCGAAACATATAATAATGTTATTGCGCAGACGTGCCTCGAGGCAGCGTTGTCCAATATACTTCGATGAACTAGTCAGCTGACAGAGTTGAGGATGTCCTTAGCACACGCACGCACACACACACGACCCGCCGGTTGCATCTCAATAGTGTCATCCTGATTGGCGTGAACGTGTGACCAACATGGACACAGCGACTAGAAGGCGGATCTGAAATTGGCTTTGCCAATCCAGGGGTTTCGTCGCCCTGTGTGCAGCCTTCTAGCCGAATTTATTGGGAAGGCCTTCCGGCCAGTGCCGCCGACCCTTCAGGTGGACGATGACGACGACAACGGCGGAGGCGGCGATGACAACGACGTTGACGCTCATGGAGCCCTTCTTGGGACTCTCTGGGGAGCCTCTTGGGCTCTGTTGGGGGGCCATGGTGAACTTCTTGGGGAGCACCGAGGTCACTTGGAGCCGCCTCGGAGCGGATCGGAAGCCTCTTGGAGGCATGAGGGAAATACGCAGCATCCCGCAACCGCAGACAAGAGTGAGCAGGGTGGGGGGGTGGGATTGTCCACGGGAAGGCGGGGGAGCAGGGGTCCTGAGCTCCCCTTGTCCACAAGGGAACCTATCCCTCGTCCCCCCTGTCCACAGACGGGGGTCCCCTGCCCCCCTCCCCCACCCCAAGCGACACACTGCGGGCCCCCCCGGGGCCTCCCCCCCGGGTCCCCTGCAGGACACCGCCCCGGACACCGGCCCGGGACCCACCCCCAGGACCCCCGCTGGGAAACCCCGTTGGGACGCCCCCGCCCACCCCCGGGGCAGGGAGGGGATCCGAGGGAATTTCATCAATCTGGGCCTCCGTCGGAGGATCGCTCCGCATCGCCGATGCATCGTCGATGTGGCTCGATGGGGGCTCCGAATTCCTCCACGCCGACGTCGCCAATGCATCGCCGACGTCGCCGATACATTGGCGATGCATTGGCGATGCGGCGCGATCCTTTGACCCCAGCTTTGCGTGTTGGTCGTTGGCCATCCAGAGCACACGTACTTGTACAGACGTTTCTGTTTGTTTTGCGGGTATGCATCGCGCGACCTTTCGTAACACGAGGCTGGCCTCTCGCACTGGGGAGCCATATTCATGCGCTTGGCTGGACGCATACGTCTTCTGTGGGCTCCCTGCAGACTGCACCCTCTTCCCCCCATGAATTCCTGACACGCTATTGTCTGTGCGTCCCGCAGAGAGATAGTCGGTTTGAGACATCAATTTTCAGCGATTGCGCAGGAGTTGTCGCATCCCCGACGCGTTCCCTAATTGTGCATGCATTTCGCAGATTCGCGCTTGCCGGCCAACCGTCATTAGAGCGATATTTTTATGTGTGTTTCTCGCCATTCATATTCTATGGTAGATGTTTGCATCTATGTGAATCGCCATGTGTTCGACGGGTGTCGCACTAGGTTTTGAGGGGCGTGCGCTTCTTATCCATCGGCCTCTTTTCATCGATTGCCATGCGATGCCAGCGTGCAGAATTCGACTGCCGTCGTTCCTTCTGTTGGAGAAGAACTCGTACTGCTGGAATCGATCCTATTGCGGACTGCAGGGGTGTCCTGAGATCCGACGTTGCCAAAAAAATGCAACATCGCAAAAAGTCACGTCCAGAGCCCCGGACCTCATCATGTTTGCGTCATTGTTCGAGCCCGAATCATATGTGAGGGTCGCGGGGCCCGAAATCGAACGACAACGCCCGTTGCGAAAGAATTCCAACGCCAGGATCTCAGGGTGGGCCATCTGGTTTTTTGGGGCTCTGGCGTCGGATGTTGGATTCCCCCCCCGAGGCTGTTCCTTAATTTTTTGGCCCGGCCCGTGTCGGTCCCAGGGCAGATCGGCATGCAACCTGGGAGGAAGCATTGCCCGTAGGGATCGGGAGCCTTGAGACGGGGGTCGACGCAAACGGGGTCAGCCAGAGCGCAAGATGCTGCAGGATCATGCAGGGCCAGGGGCGCAATGACCCGGGCTCGGGCGCAGGATCTTGCAGGATCCTTCGCAATGTTCCGGGTTGGGCGCAGGATCTTGCAGGATTCTGAAAGGCCTGACTGACCCGGGTCTGGATTGACCCGGGTCAGAAGTTCCCCGAAGGAAGTGGGTGTGAAAATATCCTTGATCTCCGTATTGAACGGACAGAGACATAACATCAGAGGTATGTCGGGGACGACCAAGAAAGCATACTCAGGCAATTTGTGTTGGGATATGATATGTTCCTTCTGTGTTGACCCAGTTGCGTATATATCGCTGGGCGGTTATCAACCTGATCTTTCGACAGTGAGGGCCAGCAATCAAACTTACATGTCCGCGCCCGGGTCGTAACCACGACAGGTCTTTAACCGCGTGCTGGCGATAATAAAGTACCCGGGTTTGATTGTGGAGAGGGGCGCGGAGGCCAGACTTTATAATCAACGGGGAAAGTTGCGAATCGAAGTTGCTATCATGTCATGTTGATTACCATCAGCATCAAAAGCGCTGAGCATGGCCATGGTGGTCTCACCACACCAGCTTCCGCAATCACGAGCGTGTGGCAGGGCTGCGGGACCCACACCAGTTCAGTTTGCCCAAGTTACGAACGTGCGGCAGGGCCATGGGATTCATTTTCTCAGCCTTTTCCTTCTCTTCCTTCTCTTTCTCCTCCTTCCGCCCCCCCCCCCCCCCCCCCCCCCCCCCAGGGTCCGAACTTTTTTACCCCCTGGTTTGTTTATCCCCCGCGGGGTCCCACCATGGACCCCCTACATGCGAGCATGGAAACGATTAAAAAGAATTTGCTTATACACGTTAAAATCATAAGGCCCCGAATCCAATTTGTTT